CCTTCACGGCCACACCTCCAGGCCTTGCCCTCAGCACCTAGGGGTGGAACTTTTCATGGTCTTCCTTCCCTAGGTGATGAAATCTGGCTTATGCTTCTGCTGGAGCCCCAGATTCCTCATCTGTAAAATGAGAATAACAGCACCGATGCAAGGAGTTGTTGGAAATAGTAAATAGAATAAAGGTAAAGCACTTTCACAGTGCCTTGTCCAGAGTAAATACTCAAAGAGTGAGTGTGAAGGCTATTGCTATTGACAAGGCTCACACCCTATAAGTTGAAAACACTGTTTATCTGAGAATAGCACCACCTCAGGTTTCTATATGCCCCCCACCCCATTTCCCACCAGTCTTTCCCTATTCACACTGACACTCTACCAGTTGAGGCACCACCATCCCTCCTAACCTGGGTGAATGGACCAAACTCCTCATTGATCTCTTTGCACCCAAGCTCACTACCTTCCATTCTGAGATCAACATGGCAGCCACAAAACACTGCCCTAGCTGGGAAATTGGGCAGTTTAATAAGACAGAGACAAAATCAATGAGGTGCATGGCTGGACCAGTCATTCACCCTAAATCCAGGAGCAACTCTGACCAAATCTCCGCAGCTGCATGGATTTAAGTTAGTATGAATTGTTGTTGTTGTTAACAGGTGCAATCATGTCAGTTCCAACTCATAGCGACCCAATGTACAACAGAATGAAGCACTGCCTGATCCTGTGCCATCCTCACAATTGGTGTTATGCTTGAGCCAACTGTTGTAGACACTGTATCAATCTATCTCGTCGAGGGTCTTCCTCTCTTTTACTGATCCTCTACTTTACTAACCATGACATCCTTGTCCAGGGACTGGTCCCTCCTGATAACATGTCCAAAGTACGTGAGACAAACTCTTGCCATCCTTGCTTCTAAGGAGGATTCCGGCTGTACGTCCAAGACAGATTTGTCCGTTCTTCTGGCAGTCCATGGTATAGTCAATATTCTTCACCAACACCATAATTCAAAGGCATCAATTCTTCTTTGGTCTTCCTTATTCATTATCCAGCTTTCATATGCATATGAGATGACTGAAAATACCACAGCTTGGTTCAGATGCACCTTAGTCCTCAACGTGTGACATCTTTGCTTTTTAACATTCTAAAGAGGTCTTTCGCAGCAGATTTGCCCAATGCAATGCATTGTGTGATTTCTCAACTTTCTGCTTCCATGGGCGGTGATTGTAGATCAAAGCAAAATGAAATCCATGACAATTTCAATCTTTTTTCTGTTTATCATGATGTTGGTTGTTGGCCCAGTTGCGAGGATTTTTGTTTTCTTTATGTACAGATGTAATCCATACTGAAGGCTCTAATTTTTGGCCTTCATCAGTAAGTGCTTCAAGCCCTCTTTGCTTTCAGTGAGCAAGTTTGTGTCATCTGTATATCACAGGTTATTCATGAGTCTTCCTTCAATCCTGATGCCACGTTTTTCTTCTATAGTCCAGCTTCTTGGATTATTTGCTCAGCATACAGTATGAAGTATGGTGGAAGGATACAACCCTGACACACATCTTTCTTGATTTTAAACCATGCAGTATCCCCTTGTTCTGTGCTAACGACTGCCTCTTGCTCTACGTACAGGTTCCGCACGAGCACATTTAAGTGTTTTGGAATTCCCATTCTTCACAATGTTATTCATAATTTGTTATGATCCACAGAGTCAAATGCCTCTGCATAGTCAACAAAACACAGGTAAACATCTTTCTGGTACACTCTGCTTTCACCCAAGATAATCTGACATCATCAATGATACACCTCATTCCATATCCTCTTCTGAATCTGGCTTGAATTGCTAGCAATTGCTAGCTGTCAATGTACTGCTGCAACTGTTTTTTAATTATCTTCAGCAAAATTTTACTTGTGTGTAATATTAGTAATATTGTTTGATAATTTCTGCATTCTGTTGGATCACCTTTCTTTGGAATGGGCACAAATATGGATCTCTCCCAGTCAGTTGGCCAGGTACCTGTCTTCCAAATTTCTTGGCATAGATGAGTGAGCACCGCCAGTGCTGCATCTGTTTGCTGAAACATCTCAACTGGTATTCTGTCAATTCCTGCAGCCTTGTTTTTCGCCAGTGCCTTCAGTGCTGCTTGGACTTCTTCCTTCAATACCATTGGTTCTTGATCATATGCTACCTCCTGAAATGGTTGAATGTCAACCAAGTCTTCTTGGTACAGTGATATTGTATATTCCTTCCATCTTCTTTTGATGCTTCCTGCATCGTTCAATATTTTGCCATAGAATCCTTCAGTATTACAACTTCTGACTTGAATTTTTTCTTCAGGTCTTTCAGCTTGAGAAAGGCCGACCATGTTCTTCTCTTTTGGTTTTCTAATTCCAGGTCTTTGCACATTTCATTATAATACTTTATTTTCTTCAACCTCCCTTTGAAATCTTCTGTTCAGCTTTTACTTCATCATTTCTTCCATTTGCTTTAGCTGCTCTATGTTCAAGAGCAAGTTTCAGTGTCTCTTCTGACATCCGTTTGGATCTTTTCTTTCTTTCCTGTCTTTTTAATAACCGTGTGTTTCTTCATGTATGATGTCCTTGATGCCATCTCACAACTCACCTGGTCTTCGGTCATTAGGGTTCAATGCATCAAATCTGTTCTTGAGATGGTCTCCAAATTCAGGTGGGATATATATTCAAGGTCATACTTTGGCTCTTGGTGGACTTGTTTTAATTTTCTTCAGCTTCCAGTTGAACTTGCATATGAGTAATTGATGGTCTGTTCTGCAGTCAGCCCCTGGCCTTGTTCTAATGATACTGAGCTTCTCCATCATCTCTTTCCACAGATGTAGTCAATTCGATTCCTGTGTATTCCATCTGGCGAGATGCATGTGTATAGCCACTGTTTATGTTGTTGAAAAAAGGTATTTGCAATGAATAAGTCGTTGGTCTTACAAAATTCTATCATGCAATGTCCAGCGTCATTTCTATCACCAAGGCCATAGTTTCCAACTTCCACATTCCAATCACCAGTAATTATCAATGCATCTTGATTGCATGTTTGATCAATTTTAGACTGCAGAAGTTGGTAAAAATCTTCAGTTTCTTTATCTTTGGCATTAGTGGCTGGGGCATAAATTTGAATAATAGTCATATTAACTGGTCTTCCTTGTAGGAGTATGGATATTATCCTATCACTGACAGCACTGTACTTCAAGGCAGATCTTGAGATGTTCTTCTAGACGATGAATGTGGCGCTATTCCTCTTCAATTTGTCATTTTCGGCACCATGACTGTCCAATTCAAAATGGCCAATAGTGGTCCATTTCAGCTATGAATTGTTGTTGTTGTTGTTAGGTGCTGTCGAGTCAGTTCTGACTCACAGCAACACTATGTACTACAGAACGAAACACCGCCCGGTCCTGCACCATGCTCACAATCGTTGCTATGCTTGAGCCCATTGTTTGCAGCCACTGTGTCAATCCATCTCGTTGAGGGTCTTCCTCTTTTTTGCTGACCCTCTACTTTACCAAGCATGATGTCCTTCTCCAGGGACTGATCCCCCCTGAAAACATGTCCAAAGTATGTGAGACGAAGTTTCGCCATTCTTGCTTCTAAGGAACATTCTGATTGTACTTCCAAGACAGATTTGTTCCTTCTTCTGGCAGTCCGTGGTATTTTCAATATTCTTTGCCAAGACCACAATTCAAAAGCATCAATTCTTCTTTGGTCTTCCTTATTCATTGTCCAGCTTTCACATGCATATGAGGTGACTGAAAACACCATAGCTTGGGTCAGGCGCATCTTAGTTTTCAAGGTGACAATCTTGCTTTTCAACACTTTAAAGAGGTCTTTTGCAGTAGATTTGCCCAATACAATGCGTCTTTTGATTTCTTGACTGCTGCTTCCATGGGTGTTGATTGTGGATTCAAGTAAAATGAAATCCTTGACAACTTCAATCTTTTCTGTTTATCATGATGTTGCTTATTGGTCCAGTTGTGAAGATTTTTGTTTTCCTTATGTAGAGGTGTAATCACTATGAATTAGCTCTTCTACAACAAGGGGCTCTAACCAGGTCCAATGAAGCCCTGGTGGCACAGTGGTTAAACAACCAGCTGCTAATCAAAACGTCAGGAGTTCAAAACCACCAGCCCCTCTGCGGCAGAAAAGATGTGGCAGTCTGCTTCCGTAAAAATGTATAGCCTTGGAAAGAGGCAGTTGTACTGTCCTATAGGGCTGCTATGAACCGTAATTGACTCAAAAGCAATGGGTTTGGTTTGGTTAAACAGCCCCAATGGAGTTCCCGGATGGTGCAAATAGTTAAGCACTACACTACTAGCAGAGGCTCCTGGGAAGACCCGCCTGACGATATGCCTGTTGATCTGCCTCCGAAAGGTCACAGCCTTGAAAACCCTATCGAGCAGTTATACTCTGCACACCTGGAATAGCCAAGCGTTAGAATCGACTCCACAGCAACTAACAACACGTCCAAAGGTAAAAGGCTAGAGGCCCATCACGGAGGACCTCTCTTCCACACTAATAGGTGTGTGTGTTTGGGGTCGGGGAGAATTTTTGGGAGCAGAGGAATTGGAGTGTAGAGGAGGCGCGCCTGTCCCATCATCTACCACACAGGAGCCCAGCACAACGCCAGCCACACAGAAAGTACTAATCCTTTCATTGAACATTTACTGAGTACCCACCATGTGCCAAACGGCGTAGTGTGCGTCGTGGAGGATTTTACACAATCTCTGCTAGGTAAGCTGAGACATGTGCAAATTTATAAAGCGTTTGAAGACTCAGTATTGCTCCCCGAATTCCCAGCGTCAGACCCGGATTTCCTTATCCGGATTGACCGCTCAAAGCCGTACTGCGCAGGCGCCAGCTATTTCGTTTGGCTCTACCGACGCTCCGCCCCGAACGAGCCTACCGCATGCGCACACCCCTTTCTCTCTGACGCACCCCCGGAAGCACAGTTTTGGGGGCGGGACCGAGAGGCATTTCCGGGGGCGGGAGCTGCAGGCTGAGGCGGTGGCGACGGCAACGGCTTTAACGGGCCTCTACCTGGCGACGTAGAGGACCCTGCGGGTGGGGAATGTGAGTGTGGAACCTTTGGCAGGTACGGCGAGATCGGGACAACGGGCAGCGAGGGAGGAGGGAAGGAAGCCAGGGAGGTTTAAGGGTTTCTCTGCAGGCTCCGGCGTGCGCTCGCCTCTGACCCCGCCGGGCCCATTCCGACGACGGGGATGCTGAAGCCACGCGCGGGAGGTTGGAGTCCTGGCACCCTGGTCCAGATACCGCGGTCTCAAGCCCGTCCAGCGCGCCAACCGTGACACCGAGGCCTTTGGGGTAGCGTCTCGCCCAAGGTCACCCTCCAGCGGTGGAGCTTGGCTGGCCTGAGCGCTTAGAGATCTCGCCCCCGTCAGTCCCTCGGCCTTTCGGGGCGCTGGATGAGCGCTGCCTGGCGGCCTCGGGTCCGAGCCACCCGCGCACGAGGCCTTGTGAGGCAAGGCCATGAAAAAGGCTGCGCCCGGACTTCGATCTGTCTCTGTCTCCCTCTGTTTCATTTCTGTCACTCTCCCTGTAACCTGTTGTCACCTGCCCTTTCTGTCTTTGTACTTGGACCGTGTCAACTTTGTATTTCCACTTTGCGTCTCTCGAGCCCATCTCTGTGTATCTGGACCCTGCCTTTATCTCTTTCTCCACCTTGCTTCTGTGTCTATCGACCCTGTCATCTCCTCTAGTCCTTACTCTCATTTATGGCCTGCCTTAGTACGTGTCTTTGGCCGTCTGTTTCTCTCTTTCTCCCAATGTCTGTGTCTTTCTTGTCGCTCTCCTAACTGGTTGGGTATGGGCGGATTGGAGCAGGCCTGCCCAGACCTCTGAGCCATGGAAGGTGACTCATGACCCCGTAAAGCTCCCGGCCCTGGTGACTTTCTCAGTGACTCGGCTGCAGTCTGGCCTCAACTCTGACAGGTGTCAGACATAACTATGTGCCCAACGTAACTTAAGTGTCAGGGTGCAGTAGGGCCAGGCTAGCAGACAGGTGACCATCTCAGGGTCGTAGCAGCTAATGACTCCTTGCCTTTTCTTGCCTATGGTTTTTCAGGCCTGCATAACCCCCCACAACCCCCTACATCCCTTTACCCCATCCCCTTATCCCAGGATGATCTCTAGATCTCTCAGGAGTCTGCTCTTTGAGTTACAGCTGCTTACCCAGGCCTGACTACAAGCTAAAAAGGGTTCATGCTGAGATCCTCTGCTAGTGGGACTCCTGGAACAGTAGCAGGATTTCTGGGAGAACTGCATGCTTAGTTCAGAGATTATGTTAGTATGTACATTTAAGTTGTGAGAAACCTAATAATTAAAGGGTTCATTCTTTGCTTTACAAAAGTACTCAAGACTCCTGAAACTAGCAAGCTCTTTTACTACATGTGATTTTTAAAAATTCATTATGTGGCTTTTAGGAACATTTGGTTAAACCTACATTTATTGATGCCTGCTCTTTGCACATCAGTGGGTACTGCCAAGGAGAGACTATGGAAGGTTCTTAGAGAAAGAGAGTTTAGTTAAAGCGAAAATAGATTCTTGCCCCGACTCTCCTCCCTCCACCTTCCTTGGATTTCGTGCAAAAATCTGCTGCAAGTAGGAAACTTGAGGAAGATTTTAAAGAAATCTTCTCAGGAAAAGATCTTTATCAAAAGAAAACTCTTAGGGTTGGAAGAATAGCTCTTTTATTATCATAATGCAAAATTGTGTGTTTTCTGATTGGGAGGCTTTTATGTTCTCTTATTTAAGCTATTAGTTTATCTTAAGGTAGTTTATCAAGCTTTCTTATAAAGATGTAGCAATTGAATTACTACCATATTTTATTGAATCCTAGTGCTGTTGATTATTTTATGCACCACCAAGGAAGAACACTGCCAATTAAATAAACTGTGACATAATGCTTTCTTATTACTTAGGCTTTTTATTTTATTCTTATTGAAAGCACTTTCAGACTTAGAGTTTTTAAAAATAATATCATTCTAATGCATATCTGTGGGACAAAGAATTTGTTTTGATGCTTTGACTATGGTTTCTGAAAATAAGCTGAGCAATTAAGATGTTCTTTGTCTTTCTAAAACAGCCAGACCAAACTTGTTGCTGTTAGGTGCCATCAAGTTGATTTCGACTCCTAGCAACCTCATGTGACAGAGTAGAACTGCCTCATAGGGTTTTCTTGGCTGTAATTACAGAAGCCTACCACCAGATCTTTCTCCTGCAGAGCAGCTGGGTAGGTTTGAACTGCCAGCGTTTCGATTAGCAGTGGAGCTCTTAACTACTTGCACTACAAGGGCTTCTTAGGCCAAACTTAAGCCAGTGTAAATAAGTAGGGTTTACACAGACCCTCCCCTGGCAACAGGCCTCAGGAAGGGAGGGGGGGATATGATGCAGTAGATCTATCACATGTACGCATTAAGGCCCAAGTCATGCTAATTCATTGAGGTCCTAATGACTAAGGGACCCTGGACCTTGGGGCGCTCTCTTTGGGGCCTCCAGGATCAAAGAGAACATCCATGCACAGGAGAGGAATTGGCAAGTTCCTAGGGACAAATGGAGGCCCAGTGCTGGGAACTCTTCCAGACCTTGCCTGATGTATTTCTACGCTTGTATGCTTTCTGGTTATAATAAATGGGTAACTGTGAGTATAGATAACAGTCTCCATTGATTTTCTGAGCCATTGTAGAGAATTAACAAACTCACAGGGGCAGTGAGTCAGCAGGGGCTGGCAGTACAGGGTGTATTTGTGCAAACCCAGCTCTGGGTGGCTGGGTGATGGGGAAAAGCTACAGAGGCAATCAATGAAGGATAGAGTCCTCTTAGCTTGTGAACTGGTTCCAGAGGGAGGGAGGCCAGCTGGTCTGAAATGCAGGGGGCTGTGCAGACTCTTGAGCCTACGGCCGCTCCCTGATGACCTGGCCTCAGGTGGCCAGGGATGTTTTGACCCAGCTTAGGATAGCGTAGTGGTGGTGTAGTTGTTCAGAGTTTGGCTGCTAACCAAAAGGTCAGTAGTTCCAATCCACCAGGAGCTCCTTGGAAACCCTATGGAGCAGTTCTACTCTGTCCTGTAGAGTCGCAATGAGTTGGATTTGACTTCACGGCAACAGGTTTGTTTTTTATTTATTTTTGTAGGATAGCTGGGGGTGAGGTCTGATCTAACACTTGGTGGTTAGTGTCAGAGAGAGGAATTGCCACTGAAGCAGCTGGTGATGAGTGCAAGTGTGGGAAGGTGAGGCCTGGATCCACCTCCACCTAGGAATTGGATTCATGCTGATTCTTCCTATGCACAGTTAGTGATAAAGCTGGGGTTTGCCCACCTTGCCCCTTTTATAGCTTCGCAATATATGAAAAGGAAAACAGTAAAATAAATTGGTTTAAGTGTTCATTAAACTTCTTAACATTCCAAGTCCAATTCTTCTGAATACTTTTCAATTTAGAGTCATTATTTATGTTTGTGTTTTTTCTGTGCCATGTTATCTTTCGTGCATCAGAAACGGTGGTGAGGCTCTCAGGAGTGCTCTGTCATGGTCTCAGGCAGTGATAACTATGTTAAAACTAGCACCTGGCCATCATATCCTGATTTCAGAAATTGTAAAATATGAAACAATACGCATCTTAGAATCAGTGGAATATGGTCTGTGTCATTTTCACAAACTTTTCCTTTTCGTCTTATTTATATTTGCAGTTAGAATTGAAAGATTTTTGTCTTATTTGTAGCATATTGGGGGAAAAACTTACTTTGTTGGTATATTGTTAATAATGTTCACGAAATGAGGGCTGTTTCTGCCTTCTGCTTTCTTGATTTGAACTTCTTATCTTGAATTGTAATAAATGTGAGGGTACAGATACAACCATTTCCTTTTTTATAAAGCAATAGGAGGATGATTGATAAGTGAAGGTTAGTGCCTGAACAATATCTTCTCCTTTGAGTTCCAAAGAGTTTACCAAAATGGAACTTTTGCCCCAGAAGTTTTAATTAAAACATTCAGCTGTGGCTTAAAATTGAAGGAAGTTGTGAATCAAACTTCATAAAGTTGGTAACTTGTCTTTTAAAAATGCTAAAATAGGTCTTACTAAGTTCTTTGACTAAAGTGTTCCAATTAGGAGACAGTAGAAGGATACTGATCAACAGTGGTCAGGAGACCAAAAACACTTTTCCAAAGGATATTTTACTTGTACAAAATTACAAAAGTATTTGCCAACATTGGTTTCTTAGTTTTGAGAGACATACGGGAACTCTGCATTATCTTTACAACTTTTCTGTAAATTAAAATTATCCCAACATAAAAAGTTTATGTAAAAAAATACAAAGGCAGAAGATAAGGTACAGAATGGAAGTTAATATAACCAAAGATACTAGTCTTGATTAGTTTTCTTTCTGCTACTCATGCACATATAGTTTTTATTTGTAAGGCACATGTACACAGTGAATGATACCAGCATCTCTTACGTTTTCAACATGATTTTTTCTTTCAGAGGTTAATGTGATTTCAGTTTGAAGCAAGACTGAACAATGGGTCTCTCTTCATTCATTCATATTGCTTTTTGATGACCATGGCATAAGGAGCTTTAATCCAGGAATACAACTTTAAATTAGGTAAGTTAAAGTTGCTAATAATACAATTTTTTAAATTATCTACTTCTGTGGTTTCTTTTTCAGCAAAAATAATGATGTAGTTTGTCTGGTTTTTAATTACTATAGACTGGAGTGTTCTCTTATTTCTTCCCTTCTGAAGAGGAAACACTGCACATTTTAAGGCCAGTCACTGCTGTACTTTGTACTGATAGGACATTTGATTTCAGAGAATCTTTTCTCTGAAGCAAGTTTTTTAACTTGGAAGTAATATTAAACTTAGAATTAGACTTCTCTTTGAAATCCTGACGTGCCACTTCTGAGGTGTGTGACCTTGGGCAGGTCTTTTAACCTCTCTGAGCTTCAGTTTACTCATCATTTAAATGACTGTGGTGATACAGAAATGTTGCAAGACCCAAGTTTACGTAGTGTACCTTGTCAGCTGAAAACCATTTGACTAATGTAAAGAACTTCAGTAAGCTTGGGGTATTGATATTTTTGTACCAGATACATTTGTACCAGTCTTTAAATTTACTAAAGCAACATTTACTGTGTTTAAATATGCTTTGTACAGTAAGCATGTAAATTACCATATGCTCAGATTAAGGAAATCCTTGGAGGACTTCAAGAAAAGTAGTTGTTGAATCTGCTTCCTCATTATATTGCTGTCTCCTGTTTTTAGGATATTTAAACAGTGTTTAAATAGTGTATAAAACTTGATGTACAGTTTATTCCTCAGCTGAAGAATAGATAGTGAGTGCTTTTAAACTCATCAAAGCTGAAAGGTCATCTAGTTAGGTGGTTCTTCAATACGTTGCCCTCAGTCCTCTACTTAAAATAAAATTAAAAAGGTGTTCTTGTACACCAGTGTTCATTGCAGTAGCATTCACAGTAGCCAAAAGGTGGAAGCAACCCAGCTGTCCATCAGCAGATGAATGGTTAAACAAAATGTGGTCTGTAGGTATAATGGAATGTTATCCCACCATAAGAAGAAATGATTTGGGTGTTTGTTTGTTTTTTAATTTTACTGTGCTGTAGGTGAAAGTTTACAGCTCAAGTTAATTTCTCATTCAAAAATTTATACACATATTGTTTTGTGACATTGGTTGCAATCCCCACAATGTGACAGCACACTCCCCCTTTTCACCCGGGAATGAATTTCTAATGCATATTGTGACATGGATGAGGCTTGAAAACATGCTAAGTGAAATAAGCCAGACACAAAAAGAACAGATATTATACGATCCCATTTATATGGAATATCTAAAATAGACAAATGCATAAACCAAAACCAGCCAAACTCACTGCCATTGAGTCAATTCTGACTCACAGCAACCCTATAGGACAAAGTAGAACTGGCCCATAGGGTTTCCACAGAGGGGCTGGTGGATTCAAACTGCCAGCCTTTCGGTTAGCAGCCCGAGCTCTTAACCACTGCGCCACCAAGGCTCCATAGACAAATGCATGGACAGAAAATAAATTCATGGTTACCATGGGCTGGGGGAGGGAGAGGAATGAGGAGTTATTGCTTAATGGGTGCAGAGTTTCTGTTTGGAGTGATGAAAAAGTTTTGGAAACAAATAGTGGTCATAGTTGCACAACATTGTTAGTGTCATTAATGCCACTAGATTGTACATTTGAAAATGGTTAAAATGGCAAATTTTATGTTGTGTGTATTTACCATAGCGAGGGGAAGAAAAAAAAAGATAGCCTCCATGAAGCATACAGGGAATGAGCTTGGAATTGGTGTGTTTGTTTTAGAAGAACTGTTGCTATGGAATTTTTTTTTTTTTTAATATGTACAAAGTGACATAAAATTGCAAATATTTTAATTAAGTCTGAGGATGGTGAATCATTTGCTCAGGGGTTTATGAATGGATTGTATATTATAATTATTTAGGTTATTTATTTATTGATGGGGGGAGGGGGAGAGAGAGGGAGAGAAAGAAAGAAAGAAATACTGTCTCACCTCTCAGGCCATAGAGGACCTGAATAAGCACTTTGACTTTAAGTCCCAACTTCACTACTTACTAGTTGTGTGACCGTAGACAAGTAGCTTAACCTTTTTGTCTATTTCCTATCTGTAAAATGAGAATAAAAATAGCTATTATGTGGGTTGTCGTGAAGATTAAATGAGATACGATATATAAAGTGCTTTGCACAGACTGTAGCATAATGTTTGCATTTAGTACATATTTGATGTTATTATTCCTGTTAATGATGACATTTTCCTAGTCACCCAGTCATGAAACTTCAAAGTCAGTATTGGTGCCTCAGTTTACCTGGCATTACTCTATCTTTTAAACAGCTTTATTGAGATATAATTCATCTACCATACAATCCATACATTTAAGATGTACAAAGTGTTCAACTTAAAGTTTTTTAGTATATTGTACACTTACCACCACAGTCTAATTTTAGAACTTTCATCCCCCTTAAAAAAAAACAAAAAAAATTACCCATTCGCTGTCATTCCCCACCCTACTCCCACCTCTAAGCAACCACGAATCTACTTTCTGTTTCTATGGATTTTCCTATTCTGGACATTTCATATAAATGCAATTACACAATATGTGGTCTTCGTAAAAGGTTTCTTTTATTTAACACAATGTGTTCGAGATTCATCCACGTTGTCACATATATCAGTACTCCATTCTTTTTTATTGCTGAATAATATTCCATTGTATGAATATACCATATTTTATTTATCTCATTATTTGGAGCCCTGGTGGCGCAGTAGTTAAGAGCTAGGCGGCTAACCAAAAGGTTGGCAGTTCAGATCTACCAGCTGTTCCTTCAAAACCCTATGGGGCAGTTCTAACTCTGTCCTATAGGGTCGCTGTGAGTTGGAATTGACTCAGCAACAAGTTTGGTTTTTGGTATTCATCGTTTGATAGACATTTGGATTGTTTCTGCTTTTTTGGCTATTATGAATATTGCTGCTATGAACATTCATGTACACGTTTTTGTGTGAATGTCATATGTTTTTATTTAAGTATATACCTAGGAGTGGAATTGCTGCGTCACGTGGTAACTGTTTGTTTAACTTTTTGAGTAACTGCCGAACTTTTCCAAAACAGCTGCACCATTCTACATTCTTAGAGGCAGTGAAGGGTTCCAGTCCCTCCACATCCCTGACAACAATTGTTATTGTCTGTCACTTTGATTATAGCCATCTTAATAAGTGTGAAGGTGCATGGGTGGTGCAAGCAGTTTGTGATCGGCTGCTAAACCTAAAGGTTGGCAGTTTGAACCCACCCAGTGGCTCTGCAGACGAAAGGCCTGGCAAACTGCATCCATAAAGATTACAGCCAAGAAATCCCTATAGAGCTTTTCTACTCTGTAACACATGGGGTCACCATGAGTCGGGGGCCGACTCAACAGCAACTAAACAACAGCAATGACTAACAATATTGAGCTTCTTTTCATTCATGTATCGTCTTTGGAGAAATGTCTATTCAAATCCTTTGCCCATTTTTTGCTTGACTTGTTTGTCTTTTTGTTGAGTTGTAGGAGTTCTTTATAGATTCTGAATATTAAACCCTTATCAGATGTATGATTCCCAAATATTTTCTCCCATCCCGTAGGTTGTCTCTTTACTTCCTTGATGGTCTCTTGATGCATGATACTTTAAAATTTTGATGAAGTCCATTTTATCAATTTTGTCTCTTGTTGCTTGTGCTTTTGGTGTCGTATCTAAAACTCAATTGTCAAAAACTAGGTCCTGAAGCTTTACCCCTGTGTTTTCTAAGAGTTTTATGGTTTCAGTTCTTACATTTAGGTCATTGATCCATGGTTAGTTAATTTTTGTGCATGATATGAGATGTGAGTCCAACTTCATTCTTTTACATGTGGAGATCCAGTTGTTCCAGCACCATTTATTGATGAGACTATTCCTTTTTCGTTGAATGGACTTGGCACCCTTGTCGAACATCAGTTGACCATAGATGTATGGACTTATTTCTGGACTCACTTCTATTCCATTGGTCTGTATATCTATCCTTACACCAGTACCAGACTGTATTACTGTAGCCTTAGAGTACATTTGGGAATTGGGAAGTGTGAGTCCTCCTACTTTGTTCTTCTTTTTCAAGATTACTTTGACTGTGGGAGCCCCTTGTAATTTCACATGGAATTTGAGGATTGGCTTTTCATTTTTGCAAAAGAGGCTATTGGCATTTTGATAGGGAATGCATTGAATCTAGAGATCGCTTTGGGTAGTATTGACATCTTAACAGTATTAAATCTTCCAATCCATGAATACAAGATGTCTTTACATTTATTTATGTGTTCTTTCATTTTTTCAGCAATGTTTTGTAGTTTTCAGTATATAAGTCTTTTATCTGCCTGGTTAAATTTATTCATATGTATTTTATTCTTTTAGATGCTATTGTAAATGGAATTTTTTTTTTATTTCCTTTTTAAATTGTTCATTGCTGGTATATAGTAACTGAACTGATTTTTGTGTGTTGATCTTGTACCCTGTGACTTTGCTGAACTCATTTATCAGCTCTAGTAACTTTCTTGTGGATTCTTCGAGCTTTTCTACGTATAGGATCATGTCATCTGCAAATAGAGATACAGCATTTTACACAAATAAAGTGCGCCTCTTATGTTTGTTTGCCAGCCGCTCCCTCCTCCCTGCAAAGTATTTGCATAAGTGGGCCTGAAAATTATGAAAATACCTCGCAGGGGGTGAGGAGGAGCAGCTGTCAAACAAACACACGAGATGCACGTTATTTGTGTGAAAATAGGATGTAGCTCAACTTCTTTCTGATTTGGGTACCTTTTCTTTCTCTCGCCTAATTGCTCTGGCTAGAACTTCCCGTGTAATACTGAATAGCAGTGGTGAAAGTGGGCATCTTGTCTTGTTCCTGATCTTAGGTGGAAAGCTTTCAGTCTTTCTCCACTGAGTGTGAGGTTCTCTGTAGTTTTTTCATAAACAATCTTTATCTTATTGAGGACTTTCCCTTCTTTTCCTATTTTGCTGAATATTTTTATCATGAAAGGGTATTAGATTTTGT